AAAGCTTGCTATACTTGCACCTAGACCTTGTATATTTGCAAAGTGGAGAGGCCACTTGCTATAATTTTACAAAGCTTGCTATACTTGCACCTAGACCTTGTATATTTGCAAAGTGGAGAGGCCACTTGCTATAATTTTACAAAGCTTGCTATACTTGCATCTAGACCTTGTATATTTGCAAAGTGGAGAGGCCACTTGCTATAATTTTACAAAGCCTCCTAAAGTGGTCCTAGCTATATTTTTGTCTCAATGACTGGTGGGCCATGTATGCCATGTGCGTGTGTGTGCTGTGCGCGCGTGTACGTGTGTTGTATGTATTATTATTTTCGCATGGATTTTTTTGCTTGCCGCATGTGTGTTGTGTTGTATACTTTTGTTGCACGAATTTTTTTCGTGGAGTGTGTACGTGTACGCGTGTGTGTTGTGTGTGTATGGGACGTGTACGGTGGCGAGTTGTGGTAGTAGGAGTATATGTATTCATCTAATGTAAGTTAGTGTGTACTGTGTATGGCAAACTGTCCTCACATGTCATTGTGTTTTGTACAAATATAGCAATCCAATGTACAAAAGGCTGCGAAAGCAAAAAATACGTTGGCTTTGTAAACCTTCTCTCTCCTCTTGCTATAGCAAGGTTTTAGCAACCCAATATACAAAGGCTGTTGAAAATGCTCTTAGTTTGTCCTCCATTTGTATGGTTTTTGCCGGTTTGCCGTAAATTAACTGGGCAATTTCTTTTTCTTTTTTGCCTCCGTTTCGAGAAAAAAATCAATGAGCGTATGAGAATGGGATGTCACATGATCACTCAGATGTTAGTGCAGGTGATATCCTTGGTATATTCGTTTTTTCAGAATAAATTTCAGAATAACAAATCGTTGTGCATCTAATAAAAAAACACTCGATTTTTTTTTAACAAAATCTAGAGATGCTCTTGATCAAGTGCATATACCTGTATTTCCGGTAAAAAAAAAGTTTACATTTTACCCTGCGTGGGATGCCGTGACCATTCCAACGAAGGGAGGGTGGGCATCTTTCGGTCCGTGCGTAGAGAGTGGACTTTGTCAGCAGGTACGTTAAAAGCAGACCAACCAGCTGGATTCCCGCATAATTAAAGTCATCGTCAGGGGTGTAAATATCATCTTTATTCTGACGCCAGATCCAGATCTGAGGCCCGTTTTCCTTTATAAGAGTACCCTCTCGACCTCACGAGTCCTCACCAGATCTGAAGCTCGTAGGCAGCAGGCCTCCGCTAGGTAATCCCCGTCTTCCTCCCCCCTTGGCAAAAGTTTCTTCAGATGATTTGTTCTGGGTCGCTCTTGCATGCATATGCTATTCCCGTATCATATATATCATCGGTAGTAGCTTCTGAACTTACAAGCTGCTGGTACT